CTTTCAATAGTGGAATTAAATGATCTGTGGAATAAAATGCAATATTATGCTCAGCAAAAAATGCTGCTAATTTGATCTCGGCGCGTTTGACTTTATCTTTATGTGAAAGAGTAACACTACTATTATCATTATTATTCGAAAAATTAATGTTAACATTTTTAGAATTTATTTGTTCAATATGTTGGTCTGATTGCGAATGTTCAAATAAATTTGATTTGCAACATCTGATGGCTTTATTGCATACAGTACACAATGCTTTATGTAGTGTAGGATGTGGAGCTAACCATCCTTTAAAAACATTTTCATCTAGCCATGATGATTGAATATTTCTAATTCTAGGTCTTTTAGCTTTAGGCTCCATAGATTCCATATTTCTGAATAAATAAATAAATCTTACCTTATTTGTACTCACCTAACCTCCTCAAAACGTCCCGCCATACGATTAACACACAACATATAACGGCACTGGATCCCGATCACCGCACATGCGCAGAGCCGCACATGCGCATACAACCGGTCCCTAATCGGAACACTGATATAGCGTTTTCGAGTAAACGGGGTTTGAACGACCCAAGATTGGTTAATGACGTCATTGCAACCTCTCCACCAATGAAAGACTTGCATTCATAGTAAAATAGTGATTGATCAACCCTAGATCGTTCAAACCCCGTTTACTCGAAAACGCTAATAGAAAGTAATAGGAGTAGAGGACTGGTAGCGACATAGCAGGATGGAAAGGAAATGGGAAATGGCTGAAAAAATAAGAGAAGCGAGAAGGGGGAGAGTGAGATGTGGGAGTCATGGATGTATAGAGGAGATGTGGAAGAGAAAGAGGGAGGAGGCATAGGAAAAGGGGGAAGGAGAGAAGAAAAAGATTTTTATTAAAAATAAAAAAACAACTAGATCACCGGGAAAAAAGAGGAAAAGAAAGAAGGGAAACAGAGGAAGATAGCGAAGGGAAAGGAGGAGATGAGGAAATGGAAAGGGGAAATGGAGAGGGTGATGAAGGAGGTGATGAGAATAGGGCTGGAGAATTGGAAGGAGAAAATGAGACAGATGAAAGAGGAAATAAAGGAGGATATAAAAGATATAAAAAGGGAGATGAAGAAGTTTAGAAGAGAGGGAGGAGGGATGGAAGGAGGAGAGAGAAGAGATAAAAAAGCAGATAAAGGGATTGGAGAGGAGAATAGAGATGGAGGGAAAGGAAGAAAAGAAGAGAGAGGGGAAAAGGAAAGAAGGAAAGGGAGAAGGAGAAGAAATAAAACTAAGATTGAAAGAGATAGAAAGAAAAATGGAAAGGAAAGAGAGGGAGAAGAGGAGAAAAAATTTAGTAATAAAAGGGATAGAGGTGAAGGAAGGGAGAAGGGAGGAAGCGGTAGAGGGGTTAATGAAGGATATAGGAGCAGAGGTAAAGATAGAGGAGACATGGAAGATAGCGGAGGACAGGGATAAAGGAAGAGAGATAGTGGAAATAAGGATAGAGAATGAGGAGAAAAGAAGAGAGATATGGGAGAAGAAAAAGACATTAAAGGGTAGAAATAAAGGATAGTAAAGGACTGGACATGGAAGGAAAGGAGAATGAGATGGAAATTA